AAAAAAAAAAAAAAAAAACCCCACTGCTGTCAAGTCAATTCCAACTCATAGTACACCCGTTCCAAATGCCTTGCTCCACCAGATATCAAGACTTATAAAACTGTAGGAATTAATCAGTATGGTATTGCTCAAGGACAACTTAGAGACACATACATACATACCTGGAGAGTTGCAATATAACATAGATAGTTCTGTAAGAATGGTCCTTCCAAAAGACCAGACTTACTGGTCTGACAGAAACCGGAAAAACCCTGAGAGTACGGCCCCTGGATGCCGTTTTAACTCAGTACTGAAGTCACTCCTGAGGTTCACCCTTCAGCCAAAGATTAGACAGGCCCATAAAACGAGACTAAATGGACACACCAGCTCAGGGGCAAGGACAAGAAGGCAGGAGGAACAGGAAAGCTGGTAACAGGGAACCCAAAGTCAAGAAGGGGAGTGTTGACATATTGTAGGGTTGGCAACCAATGTCACAAAACAATATGTGTATTAATTGTTTAACGAGAAACTAGTTTCCTCTGTAAACCTTCACCTAAAGTACAATTAAAAAAAAAAAGGAAAAAAAATTTATCATAAGAATAGTCATTTCAATAAATGATCCAGGATCACTGACTAGCCATCTGGATATAAAAGAAATTGAACCCTTACTTCAAACATGTACCAAAAAAAAAATCAACTCAGGTAGATTAAGAACCTAAATGTGAAACAGAAAAGTATAAAGCTTTAGAAGATAATAAAGGAAAATAACTTTATGATCTTGAGGAAAGAAAGGATTTCTTAAGATACAAAAGCATTGACCATAAATGGAAAGAGTAGAATACAACTATTAAAATATTAAATATTAAAATAAGGACTTATAGTCATCAAAAGGCACCACAACGTTACAGAAAAATGAGCTTGAGAAATGAAAAGACAGTTAAAGAAGCTTCCACTGGCCAAAGACGGAATGAAGCGTATCAAATCAGTTTAAATACGTTTCTAAATAACACTACTGAGAAACAAAAACTAATGGGGCCCATTAGGTTATGCCAATGAACAGCTCCTTGTTTTGAAAACTGACTCATAAAAGGAAGGAATCACTTATCCTGCCTTTCCTATTACCAACCATGTAATTAAATACTAGATGAGGAAAAGTTGCCTTTTTAGAAACATTCCAGCTAATAAATAGAGAATGACAGAATTAGAATATCACATTTTGCAACCCCTAATATATTAATGGATAGTCACTGGTCATCAGTGGCTACTAATTCTCTAACAGGGTCAACTAGAAATTGTTACCTCCTGATGCATTTTGCTCAACTGGAGTTGTATGGAATCTACGAGATGTTGCTAGAAGTTTGAAAGGACACAGTAGGACTAGGTTCATTTGGTTGGGTCCGTTCTCAGTGTCTGAATGATGAGGTAGGACACTGATAATTGATGAGTGCTATATTACATAGAGGGGATCTCTCTCTCAAATATCACCCTCCATTAGGCCTAGTGGCACAGTGGTTAAGAGCTACGGCTGCTAATCAAAAAGTTGGCACTTCAAATCCACCAGCCACTCCTTGGAAACTCAATGGGGCAGTTCTACTCTGTCACATAGGGTCGCTATGAGTCAGAATCCACTTGACAGCAATGGGTTTTTTGGCTTTAGAACCTCTTCTTGGAGCCCTGGTGGCACAGTGGTTAAGAGCTTGGCTGCTAACCAAAATGCTGGCACTTCGAATCCACTAGCTGCTCCCTGGAAACCCTATGGGGCAGTTCTACTTTGTCCTATAGGGTCGCTATGAGTCAGAATCGACTCGATGGCAAAGGGTTTTAACCTCTTCTTACACATGGCTGACTGCATTACAGGCGTGTACAAGACTTACCACTGCAATAGAAAATCAGAGAGAAATTTTCTTTCTAAACAAGGAATTTTTACGCACCACAACTTCGCTGCCCACCTGCTGCTTTGGGGCTGTTCTAAATGTTCGTAGGTTTGAAGTGAGCTGTGTTGTGAAGAGGGAACCCTGGTGATGCAGTGGTTCAGCGCTCAGGTGCTAACCAAAAGGTCGGCAGTTTGAGCCTACCAACCGCTCTACAGAAGAAAAGTGTGCCAGTCTACTTCTGTAAAGATTTACAACCTTGGAAACCCTATGGAGCAGTTCTATTCTGTCCTATAGGGTCACTATGAGTCAGAATCGACTCAATGGCAATGAGTTTTTGGTTTGGTATTGTGAAGTTTTATTTTTTGTGACTTTCACGTTTAGCTTTTAAAAACAGCTATACTGATGTAATTCGTATACCATACAATTGAGTCAATTAAAGGGATCAACTCAACGATTTTTAGTATATTCACAGGGTTGTACAACCATCACAATCTAATTTTAGAACATTTTCATCCCCCCTAAAAGAAACTCCATACTCATTAGCAATCACTCCCCATTTCCTCACTACCCCCTTACTCCCAGCCTTAAGCAATGGCTAACCTATCTACGTTCTGTCTCTATAGACTTACCTATTCTAGACCTTTCGTATAAACAGAATCATTTGACACATGGTTTTTCATGACCGGTTTCTTTCACTTAGCATAATGTTTTCAAGGGCCATCCATATTAAAACATGAATCAGCACTTCATGCCAAATAATATTCCATTGTATGGATATGCCTCATTTTATTTACCCATTCATCAGGTGATGGACACTTGCTTTGTGTCCACTCTTGGGCTGTTATGAATAATGCTGCTATGCACGTTCATGTTCATCCCAAACTGCCATGCAAAGTAGAATGAATAAACAAATGTGGAATATTCGTACAATGGGATTCTACACAGCAATAGAATGAATGAACTACATCTACCCACACAACATGGACGAAGCTTAAACATAATTTTAAAGGGAAAAAAAAGCAAAATAAATGATATATACAGCATGATAGTACTTATATTAAGTTAAAAAATAGGCAAAACTAAACTGCACAGTTTAGAATACACATATAAATATTACAGCTATAAAGAAAAACAAGGAAGTAATTGCCATGAAAGTAAGAATTATGGTTAGCTCCAGGAAAAAGGAGGGGGTTAAGCTGGGTGGTAGTTACAAGGGTATCACTTGAAAACAATTTAGTAAACTCCTCCCCTCCTTTTTGTGACTATTTCTCATTTTTAAAAAATGTTATTCAAAACAAAACAAACGCACCAAAAAAAAAACAAAACAAAAAAACAAAAAAAAATACCACCCACAAAACATGTTTTTAAGGAAAAGCACCATTTTCTATGAAACTACTTTAGGATATGCTTCACCAAAAAGAGGTAGGAAAGGGAGAAAGATGATGATACAGGATCTAACACATGACAGACAAGCCAAGAAAATCCCATAGGAAGATGACTTTAGAAGGAGCCTGAAAAACAGCTGAGATTAGGACGGGATTAAAGGCTCCAGGAAGGCAGTCAGCAAGGACAAAAGGAAAAAGAGAAAAGAAAATCTGACAGACTATCTGCGTATTCTGAGTATAGAGAAATGATTTATAGCTTGAATGGAGATCAATGGAACAAGTAAACGAAGGAGCCAGTGATTAGATCTGAGGAAAAGTTGTGACCGCTCTGCATAGTCCTAAAAATGTAACCACTGAACAATAAGCTGATGGTGAAGGTAAGGCAACTACATTAGAAAGACACAGGGAGGGAAGGACATGCAGGAGTGGTGGCTTCAGAGAGCTAAAGCTTCATCTTCCATTGCAGGAACTCAACAGATATCTGAAACTTAAAGTTCCAGAAACAGTATAAACATGCAATGTAGAACTATCAAGGTACATATTAAGAAGCTCTGGTGGCAACAACAGTTAAGCACTTAGCTGCTGACGGAAAAGGTTGGTGGTTCAAACCCACCCAGCCACTGCTCAGGCGAAAGACCTGGTCTACTCTGTCACATGGGGTCGCTATGAGTTGGAATTAATTTGAAGGCACACAGCGACAACGTAAATATGAAAAAAAGCCAGATATAAAAAAGTTGACAGTGGTTTCCTCAGGAGACGAGGAACCAGTATTGGTAAGGGCTGTGGTAGGAGACTGCCATTTGTTTTAAGTCACGCAGTACTACTTGAAAAATTCAGATGTAGAGTATGTGTAATACAAATTAATTCTTCAAATGAATTTAAAAAAAAAAAAGTATTTCTAAAATTAAAAGTTTAAGAAGAAAAAGCAAAAAAAAAAAAAACAAAAGTCAGTGGAGATTATTTGTTCCAAAAGTAAGCCACGCATTGAATAACCCTACAATTAGAAACACTTGTCATTAAAGGTCATACTCACACAGTTGACCTATTTAAATACAGGTAATAGGTAGAATGAGAAAAACGGGCTTACCTTTCTAAGCTAATCTGAACATAACTAATTGGGAATCTGAGAAGTAACAACTGATTATACGCCCTATTTCTGTGAAAAGCACCTGGTAAATCACTATTGAATGTGCATGCCAAATATAATAAATTTACCATTAAGAGCAGTACAATCAATAAATTACAGAAATTTTACCTTGTAAAAGTTTCCATATGACTTTCGAATATTGATCCACTTTTTAGCAAAAGGAGGATATCTGAGCCTGCTGAGCTGGCACTGAATGTTCAGGAACTTACTCATATCCCACGAACTGGTAAATCGAAAACGGGAAAAAAGTGGATAAAATAAATGCTATGCTAGTTTTACAAATGATTGTTTTAAGTCATTCTATTTGTTCTCAATCTTCACGTCAGCTTTCTTGCTCGTATTCACACAAAAGGCTTCTAAAATTAACCTCTCATTCTCCAAAAAACTAGTTAAAAAATAAAATTTTAAAAGTCAAAGAAAACTAGAAGTTGAGCATATTAAATTTTTCTCAAACTGATTAATTCATATTAGGCTCATCTTTATTGTTTTTACGGTTCTGATTACCTGTGGAGGCCTCTATCTGGCCAAGTACTTTTTCATAATTTTAAAATAATCCTTTGCTATACTTACTTTCAATGTCAGGCTTATCTATCATATTAGGAGTTCTCTGAATGTATGCTTTGAACTAAAACAAAGCAAAACAAAATCCTTGAAAGAGACAAAAGTAGCTGGTACCAAGTGGCTAACGCCATCTGTTCTATAGCACGTGCTTCTGTAACACCAGCCATCTTAGGTGATGAAGCAGAACACTGACCGTACAATGTGGACATTGTGTTGGTTCAGACATGGTTTCTCCTACGCAAAGGCATAAGGAATGGTGACAGTGGAGATTATAACCTTCAGTAGGAAAGAAAGAAGCCCTCAATTCAGCTGTTATACTGGTATGAGGAGTACTTTCAACTGTATTTGAAGAGAATTTTAAACGAGTGCCTGCCCAGGATGCTACTGATTTTCTGCATTTTGAATATTCTCTCAGGCAACTTCCACCTATCCTGAGCTGCCTGCCTTGGCCATTCCAATTATTTCTGGGCGTACCCATTGTTTTTGCTAGTGCTCTGGCTACCAAACCGCATAGGTTTTAAACGATCTCTCCCAGAATGCAAGGCTTTTACAGGACTACTAATACTGTGTTACGGCAGAAACTACCTGTGTACTTGAGTGGGAACAGCTCTCGTTTATGTTGAAAATGAATAACAGATTTCTAAAGAGGTTCCATTAATATTTTCCAAGCTCACTTCTATAATGAAATACAATTATGATGTAATTAATGAATGTAATGTAATTAAATATTCTTTTCCTATTGTATCGAGAAGCTGTAGACTCTTTACGTAGGTGACATTTCAGCTTTAGAGTATAGTTTGCCCACAGCTTGAAAGAGAAGTTGTCGAGGACTTTCTCCAACCCTAACGGCATTATAGTATAGTAGTTGTCTTGAAACAGTGTCTATAATCTTTGTTTCAATCTTTCTGATCTTTTCGTTTACTGAACATAGGCTTTGAGTTCAGCACTACAGTAAGCATTATGGAAGATTATTAAGACCAAAAGTCCATACTCTGAAAGGATTTGTAATCTTCTGGCAAAAATAAATCTTACATACATAAAGTTTAGATCTTAGAATATAGGATAAGCTGCCAATATAAATGGTACTTATCATAGTGGCTACAAAATTTTAGGGGGAAAAAAGATCAATGTGATTTATAATGTCTAGGGTAAAAAACAAGGTGGGCTTTGAATAATGATAAAGTAGCTGAAGAAAAGAACTTTCAGTAGAGAGGAAAGCATGAAAAAGTACACAGAGAAAAGATAAACCATGGTAAAATAACGGGCCAGCCTCACTGGAATGAAAAATAATAATGGCAGATGGATTAGGCTAAACGGGCAGGGTGGGGTTGGAGGACGAGAACCTTGAAAGCCAGGCTGAAGAGTTTGGACTTTTTTTAAAAAAGCAAGGAAATGCCATGCTAAAAATGGAGTTTTAGGAAAGTCATTTTATTTTTACATATTAACATTAATCCTTCTAGTCTAGTGCTGGATTAGACTGGTATCATTGGTTTCTCCCGTCTATTCTGTCCCTGGGAGTCAGAATGGGAAAGAAAAAGTTCTCTCTCCTGTGGAGCAACTCCAGGACCTTCAGCAAATAGTGTTCTCTGTGGTGATTCTAAAAGTTAAATGAAGAAAGACGTATGAAGTCTTAAAAGACAGATAAAATAGGTAACAAGTTTTCTAAATACTTACCCGTCTGTTAATATGGAATATTTATACTTTGTTCCTAATTCCTTCAATTTCATCCAGTCAATTACTTTTTTTAGTACCTGAGGGAAGGTATCAGCTCTGTCTACCTGATCCTGAGGATATAAAAGTAAAATATACAAAAATCAGGGAAGTAGCAGGTAGTCCTACAAAATACTCAGAGGTATGTTAGAAGGAAGGGGACAATAAAAGAAAGCATAATCTATAACATTTTAAACTCCTCATCATTTCCTTGGTCTAGATCCACCTGAAGTATCATTTTTAAGATAATTAGAAATTATTTATACCCAAATACTAAGGACTGCTTTCAACTGCAGTATGTAATCCTCCCAAAACTAATATTTAAGATCATACCAAGTGGTTCTCCATTCTCAGGCCTCAACCTAGTGGCTTACTGATTCTCCAGAGCGTGGAGAAAATCTCTTCTCAGCTGTGAGCTCTCACCCCCTAAAGTGGTCTCCCAATCTTGAATTCTCATACCTTTCCACACCATACTACACACCACTGCCAAATTGATCTTCCTAAAATGTAAATCACATTACTCTCATACTTCAAATCCTCCAGATAGTCCCCAAGGCTTCCAAGATAAGAAGACTCAGAAGATCCTTCAGGATCTGGCTGCGTCTGCGTACCTCTCTGTTTTCGACCACTTTCTTACTGTCACGTACACATCTGAGCCATTCTGAATTATCTGCAGCTCTGCCATTCCACACCTGAAATGCCCAGCCATTCTTCTCTGCCTGCTTACCTACCATGACTCAGCCCAAGTTCACCAGCTTTTCTCAGGACATCTGTCAATTCCCTCTGTCTCCTACAGAAACCCTTTTTACAAATGTCCACAGTAACAAGATAAACACTAATTTGTCAGCCTCTTAACCATACTGCAACCACTGGTTGATCCTGCCTGCCCTTCTGACTTCCAGATTGTAGGTGTGCTGAGGGCAAAGACTGACTCGACTGTTTTTATATCCCTAGTGCCTAGCATAAAGAGCCCTGGTGGTGCTGTGGCTAAGTACTTCGCTGCTAACCAAATGGTCAGCAGTTCGAACCCACCAGCCGCTCCGTGGGAGAAAGATGTGGCAGTCTGCTTCCATAATCATTACATCCTTGGAAACCCTATGAGATAGTTCTACTCTGTCCTATAGGGTCACTGTGAGTCAGAATGGACTTGACAGCAATGGGTTTTTTGGTTAATGCCTAGCATAGCACCTTGGCAGATATTATAATTATAGTAGGCACTCAAATATTTGTTAAATGAATGAATGAATAAAGGACCTAGATAAATGAACAAAGGGCCTACCACATCAGAACACATACACTGATTCAAAAAATTAGAGGCCTAAAAAAAAAAAAAAGCTATATATAAAGTAGTAAAATGATAAACATTTGAAAACTGCAACTACAAGTTCAGCGTGTTATCACTTACTTTACTAACGCTCATTACCTTAGATTCATCACTCCAAACACGCTGCCATCCAGCGACCCTAACATTACAACTCCTTAAAAGGAAGGGCTGGGAACAATTTTACAAGGTGGTAAATTTGCTTTTGTATTTTCTTTTTAATATTACAATATGAAAGATCCTTGCCAAGCAAGTATCATATTAAATTATTTACAATAATAATAATGTTTAAAAACTACCTACAGAACAAATCCTCAATTTCAAAACTTTCTAGAAAAAAGAACAGAGAATTATAACCTGAGTGATTCCAGTAAGGTTGATGCAGAAATCAGAAAGCTGTGTGTTAATCTCTGGTCTCACATACTGCTGAAACGTATCTTCCTACAAGGAAAAGGTATCAAATTAATGCATTTTATAGAACTTATAAGATACATGACACATGACAAATACAGTCACACGAGGCTATAATTCTACAGGTACTTACGGCACAGAGCTTTGATGAAGAGTTTTAACAATTTAAGGATAATTCTCCAACCCCAAAGCACTCTTTTTAGTAATTCTTGAATTAAAAATATGTTTGTTTCGTAGTCTTAAAAATTTTAATTAAGATAAAGCAAATGTCTGAAAGGAAGTCTTCAAACCAAAAAGTTGACAATTTTGTTTATAATTATTTTAAAACTATAAAATCTATTAATGTAACCTCTACTTCAAGATACTAAAAGCTTTTTTAAAATAATAAATTCTTTTGAAGAAATGCCAATCTTCAGTTATAAAGGTTAATTAGCTCCAGATTATTACTCTCTCATATTAATTATCTGCCCCTTTGGGGCAGTTCTACTCTGTCCTATAAAGTAGCTATTGAGAGTACTTATTTTTATTTGAAGATTCTACTGAACTGAATTTTGAATAGTGAAAATTTGACTATATGATGTCTAATAGTTTAAGGATCAATAATCAACTATATTTTTGTGGTAATTTTTAACCTCTTCAAAAAACTTTCATGCTTACCATCTTATTTTATCCTCACAACTCTGTGAACTATGTAAGATCAGTATTGTTATTATCATCAGGCTCAGAACACTAATTGTTTTTCATCTAGTCCCATACTGCCATCCTGAACCAAAACACACTAAGTCATTTTTTTTAAAATTAAGGACAATTTCAAAGCCTAAAGATAAACAGCAATGGTCAATCCTAGGTAGATATGGAGAAAAAGTCAAAGAATATTCTTTGTGGTAAAAGATTAAAAGATTAAGTAAATGTTAAACTTCTTTAGAATAAATTCTTTATACATACTAATCTATTAAGCTGGCTAACTGTAAATGGATCCTAACAATTATAAAAGAGCAAGAGCACAGAAGAGCAAAGAACAATATTTGAACTTCAAAGGTTAGATGCTGTTTACTTACCAGATACAATGCAAAAAAAAAAAAAATTCCACTTAATTAAATTTTCTAAGGTTTACATCCTTTTAAGTATCAGTATTTTGTTTTATAATTTTAAAATGACAATCTTTCAAAAAAGATATTGTACTTTCCCTACCATTTAAGCAGCTACTATTAACTAAATATAACATTAGTAACATTTTACTCACTATTTAATACTCTTAACAGAAAAGCTACAAAGAACTATTCACTCATGCATTGACCAAATATTTAATAATCATTTAAGTAATTACACAGTAAGTTTAAATGATAAGAGATATTTTTAAAAAAGGAAAAGTAGAGCATGCAAGGAGAAACAAAATTTTATTCACTATTTAATCCTCTTAACAGAATGAAGCTACAAAGAACTATTCATTCACTGACCAAATATTTAATAATCACTTACATAAATTACACAGTAAGTTAAAATGATAAAAGCTATTTAAAAAAAAAAGGAAAAGGAAAGCAGGCAAGGAGAATAAGAAACATTGTGTGTGTGGGTGTTTAAGCTACACTATTAAACAGGATGGAGCTCTGGTTGCCCACTGGTTAAGAGCTCGGCTGCTAACCAAAGGTCAGCAGTTCAAATTCACCATGCATTCCTTGGAAACCCTGTGGGGCAGTTCTACTCTGTCCTATAGGGTAGCTACTGACTCGATGACAACAGGTATTAAATAGAATAATCAGGCAGGCTTCACTGAGGTGAGATTTAAGGAAGGGCTGGGAAGGCTGGAGGGAGGGAGAGAATTAGCCAGCAAGTTGTCTGTGGGAAAAGAACTAGAGCTAAACTTTGGGGGTGGGGGAGGTGGGGAGGTGGGGTGCCCGGCATTTCTGAGAAACAGAAAGGAAGCCACCACGGCTGGAGTGGAATATGGAATAGATAGTAAGCAAAGAATAACAAGTGGCAACAAGAGGCCTAATCATATAAGGAACTCTGCAGGGTTTTGAACGGAGGAGTGGAATGATTTGTCTTCTATTTTAAAAGCATTATCCTGGCTACTATGTTGAGAAGTGGCTGTAGAGGGGCAAGGATAGAAACACAGAGACAGGCTACATGCTGACTGCAGTAATGCCAGACAAGAAACGAGTGGGTCTCTCACACTAGGGTCACAGAAGTGCGTGAAGTGGCTGGGTTCTGGGTGTATCTTGAGGGCAGAGCCAAACGGGTCACTGATGGTCTGGGTGTGGGATGTGAGAGGAACACTGAAGTCAAGGACGAGCAGGCAGAAAGATGAAATTGTCATCGCTGAGCTAGGGAAAGGTGAAAACAGAACAGGTAAGAGGTAAGGTCAGTCTGGCATATGCTGTGTTTAAGATGCCTGTTTAAATTTTCAAGTAGAGATGTCAAGTAAGCAGTCTGGATTTGGGACTGAGATCTAGGTTAGAGAAAGATATTTGGAAGTCATCAAAATATAGGTTTTAAAAGCTATGGAAACAGATAACATCATCAAGGGAGAGGATATTTATAGAGATGAGGACCTAGGGTGCACCCTGACAGCCAATATTAGGAAGTTAGGGAGAAACGGAGGAACCAGTTAAAGAGACTGAGAAGGGACGCCCAGTGAGGCTGCAGAAAAATCAGAAGAATGAAGTTTACTGGCAGTCCCTTGAAGAAAGGCTTTCGAGAAGCAAGAGGTCAATTCTGTCATGTTAGTGGATTTAGGTAAAAGCCAAACATGACACTGACCGACGGTTTTAGAGGAATCATGGGACTGAACACTAAGATGAACTTAATTGAACTTAAACTCACAGCTGTGTAGGTTTAAGAGAGAATGGAAGGTGATAGAAAAATCTGGAAATGGAGAGAGGTGACAGTTGCTCAACATGACAAATGTAATTAATGTCACTGAAATGTACATGTAAAAAAAATACTGAAATGGAGAGAGAAGAGAATGGGAGAAAAGGAAACAAGTTTTTTTGAAGAGTCTGCCGCAAAGAGCAGCAAAAAAATGGGGTAGCTGATGTGGAAATGAGATCGAGGTTTGTTTTTTTTTTCTTCTTTTTAAATTTTATTTATTTTGTTGAGAATATACACAGCAAAGCATACACCAACTCAACAGTTTCTACACATCCAATTCAATGGCACTGGTTATATTCTTTGAGTTGTGCAACCATTCTCACTCTCTCACCCTCCTTTGCTGAGTTGCTTCTCCCCTATTAACATAAACTCCCTGTCCTCTAAGGTTCCTATCAAATCTTTCAAGTTGCTGCGGTCAGTTTTATCCCATATAGTTAGTTCTTAACAGAGCATAATGCTCATGGCAGACCTTTTTACTAGTTAAGCTAAACTATTGTTTTAAGATTACTTCAGGGGATATTTTTGGTTTAAGGTTTAAAGATTATCTCAGCGCAGTTTCAGGGTTTCATCCACCCTCCATAGCCCCAGAAAGTCTAGAGTCCATGAGAATTTGAAATTCTGTTCTGCATTTTCCCTCTTTTGATCAGGATTCTTCTATGGAATCTTCGATCAAAATGTTCAGTAATGGTAGCCGGGCACCATCCAGTTCTGGTCTCATGGCAAAGGAGGCAAGTGTTCATGGAGGTCAAGTGAAGGTTTTTTACAGTGTGAAAAATAACAGCATGTCTGTAGGTGATGGGAACGGTCAAGCAGAGAACAGTAAACCATTACTATCTAACTGAGGAAGAACTGCTGGAGCAATATCTTTGAGTAAGAGAGAGGAAGTGGGATCTATAAATTATGCAAGATTATCTGCCTTCATAGCTGTTATTTCCCCTTTAATTTATTGACTTTTAATCTGCTTTGGACTGAGAAATTATATAGATAGAGTGCTTAAGCATATGATTGAAAGAGGCTTCAAAGAGCAGTAAGAAAAGTTCATGTATTTTAATGCACAAAGGCTTTTTATACATCTTCCCAGTGGCAACTGGGGCTATCAGAGGAGTGACATGTGATGAGATGAGATATTGCTGATCAGATTTTACAAGGCAAACAGTATTCTTGTTTTGGGGAGTTCCCGTTATGACTTCTAACATTGACAACAAGTAACTAAAGTGCACACATGATATGACTTAGAAGTAAAGGCTATGTAAGTCGTTTTCTGCATAAACTTTCCACCAAATGCTTAATGGGGTAGATTCTAGAAAGATGGCCAGCTCCAGGTTGAAAGATAATTTTTGTAAATTCTCTTTCTTATAGATCAGAGTTCACATTACTCTACAGCAGTGGTTCTCAACCCTGACTGCATATTAAAACCAACCAAGAAGCTTAAAAAAAAAAAAATGCTGATGTCGAGGGCACCACTGCGGAACTAGATCAGAAACCTTCAGGCAGGTGCCAGGCATTGGTATTTTTTTTAAACTCCCCAAGTGAGTATGACATCCAGCCAGATGTGTGTTCTAAGAAAACTAAAAAAAAAAAAAAAAAAAAATCTGTAATTTTAGCTACCAGAAAGAAGTATAGACTCAGAAATTATTTTATTATAGCTTTTCTATTAATCAAGCTGACATACAGTACATACTAAGAATGAAAAGCCCACTTCAGAATCCTAATTCTCACTAAGCAACAAATAAGATCCTTAGTCTAACTAGTGAACACGAGAACAAACCAAAAAAACCCAAACTAGTTGCTGTCGAGTTGATTTCAACTCATAGCAACCCTGTAGGACAGAGTAGAACTGTCCCAGTTTCCAAGGCTGTAAATCTTTATGGAAGCAGACTGCCACATCTTTCTCCCGCAGAGCACCTGGTGGGTTCAAAGTGCTGACCTTTCAGTTAGCAGCCGAGAACTTAACCACTGCACCACCAGAGCTCCTTCGAACACCAGAATAGTTAAAAGTAAAATTAACATATAACAATTCACTTACTATTTCTAAGGTATGAGTATTCAGTAAGACAACAGGAAATTCAATTATTTCATGTATGAACTCAGGTGGGTTACCCTCTTCACAAGTTGCTTCAAAGTCAATAATACAAATGTAGTCGTAGTAACTGTCGGCACAGTTGTCCCCTTTCAACATCAGCTTCTGTTTCTTATAATAGTTTTTGAGCCTCTTCTTTAATACATCCTTTACTCCTCTAAGGAAAAACAAGAATCAAATTTACCCCTGGGTGAACTGTACAGTCAATAATCTGAGCTCTTACCTGCTGGCAAAGGGGTGAACACTGACAGCCGCAGCACAATTTTGTATATGTCAGGTAAAATAAATGTAAAGATAGCAAAACTCAAAGCAAAGTTAGCAAAGAATTAAAATAAATTATAATTCTCATCGAATAATTATCTTGAATGGTAAATTTAAGAAGTCTTTTAATACAGGAAAAACTGTATCAATTTCTTTTTCACAAGTAACTTCATTTTAGTAGTAAGAGCATGTTCTCCAATACATACGGGTATTTCAAACCACAAGCCTTGTCAACATGAACACTTACGAAGCCCTATTAGCTTATATATGAAAATGACATACATCATACAAAAACTGAGATTAATATTAAATGATTCCACTGGCCAAATACAAATTTCAGACTACGAAAGTTCAGGTAAACTGAACAGACTGTGCCATCTCTTTCCTTTCTTCTGGCTCTTACTAGGTTAGACAATCCAAAAAAACCCATATGAATATAAACACATTATGAGCCTAGCATATCAAGTTGAATGCCTGTTAGTTATTGCACCAGAACAACTAATTTAGAAGGTACTTTAGAGTAAACTGTGTCAGAGGACCATTGCCATACTCGCTAGGTTCTTAATTGGAAGTAGGTTTCTTAGTTTACCATGGGTAGAATATAATTTAGGAGATTTTAGTATTATGGGAATCTTTAAAATACATGTTCCACAAATGGGGCAGGTTGGAAGGAGGGAGGAAGGTCCTTCTGAACAGATATCAATGGTTGGTGATGGCAGTCAACTTCTTCAAACAATACGTTTCTTCAAAAAATTAAAAGTCACGACCAGTGCTCAGACTTCCTTCACAGTTACTTGGCTGAATTCTATAGTGACCTACAAATACAAATGGTAGTAAAAATATGCGGATCTAAACTGTAGTAAATGTATAATGCCAAGAGGCATTTTGGTCACATCAGTAATTAGTGACCATTAAAAAAAAAAGTTTAACTTTTTTATTCCTTTCTAAACTACCACTAAAAGCACTGAAAAGGAATCCTATCCTTGAAAACAGTGGTAATCAAACAGTGGGTTGTTTTAAAGCAAAATGCCTTAATATGCTTATTTGCTTGAGATATTCCAAATTACCAAAACCCCTTAACCCCTGTCATATTAAGGCATTCTTAGTGACCTCTGTGTCATGTGACAGCTTTGGATTTTTTTTTGTCGTAATTTCTTTTTTTGAGAACTACATTCACTAGAGTAGTCTGGAAACCTGCTCCTCTTCCTTTACTTGTTAATGGCAACAGCAACACATAACCAGCTGCTCATTTCTAACACTTCCCTTTCCCCTCCACAACCAAATAATCACCATTTATGCCAATTCCAACTCAGAAAAAACATTCAGAATCTGGTTCTTTTTTCTCTCTGCTGTGGTTCCTATTAGCATCCCGCACTATGGCAAATGCCTCCACTATCACCACACTCCTACTCACTCTTTACTTTACATCAGAACTAAGCATGAATGTCATCTTACTCTTATATACCTTCACCAGCTCCTTTCTGCTTAAGGTAAAACCCAGATCTTGGCAAAGAGTTCCAGCTCAACTCGGCTATAACCTATCCTTTTCAAATCCCCCCCTCAAGGTACGCTGAGTACTGCAGACAAACTGTAAGTCATCCCCCAAATATGTGGTAAACGTTCATGCTCTGTAACCTTGGTTGTGCAACAGCTGAAGAAAAGGCAAGATCGTGTATCAGAAAACACACAAACAAGAGTTAGAAAAGGTTTTGAGTTCTTTTAGCCTGAAATACCCTCTCCCCTTTTCTGTTTGGCACATCAATTAACACGTCACCTTCCTGACTTCCTGAGAAGACACTCCCCCATTCTCACGGTGTACTTGGCCAGACCGCCAACGTATCACTTGCCACTCTGTGTTAGAATTCCTTGTTTGTCTGTTTTCCCAAAAGACTGTGAGCTTTCCAAAGTGGGGAACATATATCTGTATTTACCTTTGTAAGTTCAATGCCTAGTACAGTGCTCAGAATATAATACGTGCTTGTCGAATAAATGTATAAATATACAGGCAGTCCCCGGGTTATGAACCTCTGATTTCTGTACAATCTGCAGTTACAAACTAACCCCACGTAAAGCCTATTATGTTAAAAATTCAAGGTACATAAAATGGTTCATAATAACAAACAGGTGCTACTTTGCAATGCACATCAAAACATTATTACTGTATTATGGTGTTAAAGATGTTTTAGTGTATCTGAAAGTGTTTAATGTTTTTTATGCATAGAAAGGAAAACTATATGCTACATACTAAGACAAACATTTGACTGACGTTAGATACGAACCAAACCTAACCGTTCCGACTTACATACGAATTCGACTTAAAGACAGACTTAGGAACGAACTCGGTCGTAATCCGAGGACTGCCTGTACATCTACATCTCTAGCTCCCATGCAAAGCAGGAGTAAGCAATTGATCTTCGCACCTGGGAAGAACAAAAATTTTGTTCAGAAGATCTTCTGTAGACTATAGGTTGTACCTTCATAATAGAAAGAGGCAGGGGAAATGAGGTAAAAATTTCCTTCACAAATTATGATGCAGATGATCTAGAAGGGAAAAAAATATTATGTATGCTCTTTTGAAAAGTAGTCATGCTCCATTTTGAAGCAGAGGAGGAACGCTATTCATAAGAGAATAAGGATCCAGGGATGCCTTGAAACAATAATAGTTTTCATCCATTGCATGCAGTCAAATTTTTTCTTGACTCCTAGCAGTTCTATTGTCTATCAAACATCTGCAACTTTTTCCGGTGCCCAAAGGTCATCCCTGCCCCAAACCCCAAGAAATGAATCTCTCTGAAAGCACAAGTTAACTGAAAAACAAAGTGATTTTTGTTTTGCAAACAATTTAAGAACCTAGGTGTGCGTACATCTAACTAAAGACACACACGCTGGCTAAGCTGCATTGTTTTCTCACTCAGTATACACTGGTAAGCACACGATACAAACTATCATTCTGCATATTTTCAGAAACTAAAACAGAAAAAAAAATTTCCTGGTAGGTAAATGATTTTTTAAATTACCTGGTTTCAAACAAGCCTACTTATAAAAACAATACAAACAGCCAAAAGAAAACATTCAACCTTATTAATAATCAAACAAAATAAAAATAAGATACAATTATCCATCAGCGAAAGGAGCAACTAAAAAAGTAAACAAAAACACTTGGTATGATGAGATAAGAGACTCCTATACCTCGCTGATAGATCTTTAAAATATTCACAGACTTTGACTCAGCAATTCTGTTTTCATCATCTAAGAGACTGACAGAAATAATCAGAGTTACACACAAAGATTCCCGTATAAGGATGAAAATTACAGTGCTATCTGCATTGTTAATAATGGTTATCTCTTATGGTAGGTTTAAGGATTTTTTTTTTTCAGTGTTTCCAAGATTTTCTAGGATGAGTTAATACTACTTTTATAATTCTAAATAGTTATTTTTAATTACCTGGTTTCCAGCCTGAATTCTGAAAGTTTAGCTCTGAGTTCTTCCTTACTCATTCTATTAATGCAGCCATTCGTAAGAGCGATCTCTTTGTAAACTGGGTCACTGAAGTCACTTGCATTCAGGCTAGTGTACTTAGATTCTTTTGTTTCTTGGCCATCAAATCTACATCGTTGCTTTCTCTAAAGAGAAAAAAAAGAAAGCATACAGTTTATAGTTATTACAAACATCTCAGACTTGAAGATTTACACTACTGAGGCCTCTTCCTGCTCCATGTTAAATGAAAAGTGACCACTGCAGGTGTTGGAGGGAGGGCAGGACAGGAAGATGTATTTCCAATACAATCTACCTGCCCCATCCTGGGTCTTGAGGTTCCTAAGTCCAAAGAGCACTAGTGGGGGAGCCAGAGCCACCTCAGCACAGAGCCCCAGCTAGACCGTTCACTAGCAGCAGGAACAGCAACATCACTTATAGCCTCTGATCCCTGTTTCCTTACTTATAAAGTACAATAATAACTGTCTCAAAAGGTAATGGTAATGGTAAGGAGCCCTGGTGGTGCGGTTTGAATCAAATCGGCTATGAATCAAAAGGTAGGCGGTCTGAACCCATCAGCTGCTCCTCGGGAGAAAGATGCAGCAGTCTGCTTCTGTAAGATTACAGCCCAGGAAACCCTGTGGGGCAGTTCTACTCTGTCCTATAGGGTCACTATGAGTCACAATCGACTCAATGGCATCTAACAACAATGGGGATGGTAAATAATATTTGGGCAGGAATATTCTATAAATGAGATAACGTCTATCGGCCTCCTAATACCATACATACGGTGGCTATTAATATAAGTAGCTTTACTTATTACCATTACAAGCCGTAGAACTGACTTTTCCACAAACAATATTATACACCCTACAAAGGAACCAATTTTTAAATGAACTTTTCAAACATTATGCACATATAAATCAGGGACTTCTGGGAATTTTTAAAGAGACTTCATATAGTTAACAAAAACTGCTCAATATAAAAAAAAAATTATAACTAAATACTTGGGAGCAGCTGAGTGAAAGTAAATAGAAATGAGAAAACAAAAGCCAAGAGAAAGGCTGATCCTAAAGTTGATTGTGAATCTAGTTCCAAATTCTAGTACCCAAGGCAAAGAAGGAAATGAACTCAATTTCAACACTTAGTTTCCAAAAGTTATGAATATATCAGGTACTCAGAAGAACTACAGATAGTTAAGCGCTCAACTACTAACCAAAAGGTTGGTGGTTCAAACCCACCCAGTGGCTCTGCAGGAAAAAGACCAGGCAATCTGCTCCTGCAAAGATTAGAGATGACAGCCTAGAAAACCCTATGCAGCATTTCTACTCGAAAACACACAACATAGAGTTATACACCTTTTCTCTGTTCTTAAATCAAAATCTGTGTTTCAAAAAAAATCATGACTCAATTCTAAACATCAGGTAGTCCTAAATTACTAATGTGTCAGGTTCCAAAGATTCATGCCTAAGTTAATTCTTTTCCAGTTACAATGTTACAAATTAGTTATGTTCCCAGAATTTCCAAAAATACTTGGTACTTACTACCATTCACTCATATTAAGGCTTGTTAATTTAGTCATAATTTACCACGTACTTCCTATGTGAACTTTAATTATAGATTAAGAAGGGATAACCAGGAACAGGCTGCAGTCCCTGACTCAGAGCTGATTCTGATGGTTCAGGGACTATTTTTCACTCTAAGCTCTCAATTTACTTCCACAGACATTTATTGGGAATGTACAGTGGGCTAGGTACTGTGCTAGGGTACACAAAGATTACTCACTCCCATTTCCTCTGAGGAATCGGTCAGCAAATCCAATGAATGAATTGTCCATAAATACAGGAATAACCATATTAAGGTTGCTTGTTAGCAAATGCATAAAAACTTTATAATGTTGATCTCTGACCAAGAAAATAATTAGCTTTCAATAACAGACTAAATTTATAATACATACCTGGCTATCTTATCACTGGAATTTAATGGGGTGAATTTATCCTTTGTCTTTAAACTTACATTGAATTTTAAGTTTCATCTTCAGTCAGGCTAAATTTTAGGTCAAAATTAAGTAACAGTTTGTCAACCAAAACACATGCTAATTTAAGCAAATGTTCTCTTTGCCTAAATCCTCTCTCTGATTCACTCAGTTAATGAGTAATCTTTAGGCCTCTTCTACATATGCTGCCAATCACGATTTCTATAAAGAAGGATCCTGTACTCTCCTCTTTATATGGCACGTCCTCTCCCTTTCTTTTGGTTTATTTAAAGCCTCTGCTTCCTCTCCTAAGCCCGACTCTAGCCCTCCGCCTTCAGTGAAGTTGTCCCCGGTACAGAAGCAGTCCATTCGGCAGTGATCAGTGTCTCCTCCCAAATGTCAGCATCTACACTAATGGTTTCCAAAGAAGGATGTTCAAGTCAATGCGCTAAGGAGCAGAGAGAAAATGTTAAAAATTCTACATGCATTTTTAATCTACAAAAACACAGAATTAGTTTACCTAAATTAAAAATACATAGATTGACACTGGCATCCTCCCCAGTCTCTGTGTCTATCTACCTGCCATGTGTCACAGTACTGGCTATATAATGAGGAAAGTGGGGACAGATCCTACAATACAGAGAGGAATGTTCTCCTTCACGGTGGTTGCTGTTGTTGTTAGTTGCCGTGGAGCAGATCCTGACTCGTGGCGACCCCATGTGTGTGCAGAGTAGAACTGCTCCATAGGGTTTTCAAGGCTCTGGCCTTTGGAAAGCAGATTACCAGGCAGTGCTGTGACATTCTGCAATTTACACATGTCCAATTAAATCGACGTATGCATTGTGTTATCTCACATGAAAGTACCTTTACATCATGGGAAGTGACCATGAAAATCTTTTATACTAAACAGGTTTGCTGACAATCTTGTGGCAAAGAACTTAAAAGTGTCATTGAACTTAAAGATGATATTTTCTTTTACAAAAACACAGGTATTCCAAATTCGCTATCCTTTTCTGTAATGAGAAGGGGACAGGATAGAAGGGATAGACAGCTTGATCCTCAAGGGTTTTTTCTTTTTTTTTTAAATAAACATGATCTGCTTAAACTCTTGTTTGAAGATGAAAGAAAATATATTTTAACAATAAGTTGGAAACTAACTCTATTAAAAAAAAACTTATTCTGCAGTGAGAATATTTTGAAAACATATTTTGGAAATGTTTCCATTATTGTGTTCCCCAAACTCGTAACAAACTTCTGCATCTACAAACTGAAAAAAGAAGACTGAGCAGAGTTTAATGGAATTATGGAGAAGAATACTGAATATACCATGAACTGCCAAAGGAACAAATAAATCTGTCTTGGAAGAAGTACAACCAGAATGCTCCTTAGAAGCAAGGATGGTGAGACTACGTCTCATGTACTTCAGACATGTTATCAGGAGGGACCAATCCCTGGAGAAGGACATCATGCTTGGTAAAGTAGAGGGTCAGCGAAAAAGATGAAGACCTTCAATGAGATGGACTGACACAGTGGCTGCAACAATAGACTTAAGCATAACGATTGTGTGGCTAGTGCAGGACCAGGCAGTGTTTCATTCTGTTGTACACAGGGCTGCTATGAGTCGGAACCGACTCGATGGAACCTAACAACGGCAACAATATGGGACAACAACAAGAGACCTAATATACGCATCATGGGAATGCCAGAAGGTAAGAGAGAGAAAGGGACAGAAAAAATATTTGAATAATGACAGAAAATTTCCCCAATCTAATGAAGGGCATGAAAAATCCAAGAAGCTAAAAGAACCCCAAGCAGGATAAACTCAAAGAGATCTACACCAAGACACATCATAGTTAGGCTCTCAAATAGTAAAGATAAAGAGAAAATCCTGAAAGCAGTGAGAGAGAAACAGTCACATACAAAGGATCCCCAATAAGATTAAGTGCCAATTCTTCCTAAGAAACACTGGAGGCCAGAAGGCAATCGAATGAAATATTAAAAATGCTGAAAGAAAAAAACAAAAAACTGTCAACCAAGATTACTATACCCAGCAAAACTATTCTTTGAGAACAAGCGTGAAATTTAAACACTTCCAGACAAACAGAAGCTGAGAAAGTTCATATTCACCAGACCAGCCCTAGGGAAAAAAAAACTAATGGGAGCTCTGTAGATGGAAGGGAAAAAACACTAGAAAGTAATTCAAAGCAATACATAAAAAGAAAAAGATCACTAACAGAGGAAAATGCATAGACAAGTATAAAGGCTAATAATAACATGCTCATGCTTGATA